AGGGAAAGAATGTTACATCCTGCAGGACATTGATGGTATAAAGTCAGTGCCTTATTTTGAAGAATCCTTTTTTAACCATCAGAATTCTGGCAGTATGAAGGTCACAGGTAAATATTGCTGGAAAAAGAAATGAAATGGCAAACAGGACATTTGCAGGAGTGTCTTGTGTGACTTGACATATGCAAAGAACACAGCGTAAAGCCTCCATTGCTTCTTAACTGATGTTGCACGATTTACACAATTTAAACATTTCTTAGATGATGTGGAGAAGCCTTTTTTACAAAAGCATCAGTTTTGGTATTTCAGAAGTGCAGTGTGACAAGTAGGAAGGCAAGGAAGAATGCTGAGCAAGTTTCACAGGAGTGCCAGAAGAGGGTAAAGAGAAGGGCAGAGGAGGCAAAGTTTGAATAGTCCCTTTCCCTTGCCAGTGCTTTTTGGGGAGTCGCACAAGGACTGTTCTGCCAGGTCTTAGTTCCCTGAGCCTCACAATGCAGATGATTTAGCAGGGACTCACAGAACAGTTCTAGCTGTTTTTTGATACTTAACCTGAGAAGGTTTTGACAACATTTTCAGAGGCTGTCCAATTTGTTCAGCCCTGTACACTGTAAATGTGTTACTGTTCAATGTACATGGTCACTGTGGTGCAGTAAAATACTGATTGAAGCAGTGAATTGATGTACAGCTTATAAGACTGTGCATAAGCTTTAATGAGTATATCTATGTTCTTAGCAAGGTGGAGAAGACTGAAATATTTTGAGGTGAAACTGGTGTTTACTAAAGACATGGAATTGTGTTCTGTGAGTGCTGTCAGGGGTTTGTAGATTGCATTAGAAACCAATGTGCTGTGCAAGCATCTGTAGTGAACTGTGAACAGTCCAAATTTGCTGCGTTTTGATTTTCACTTTTCTTTTGGCATGGTAGGAAGTGAAATATATTGCAGAATTGTCTTTAGTGCTCTACACCTGTTCAGATTCCCAGGTGCTGAAAGCATCCTCTATCAGAGTTAATAGTGTAGTGGGAAAATACTAACTTGCCCTACTGTGAAGCTGAGATCTTTTCAAAGGGAGGTCTTGATAGATGTTTCTACATGCTGTTTTAAAGAGCTTTGTGTTTGAAAGAGAACAATAATCTTTGTCTTGTAGGTGCTTCCCAAGCATCTGAAGAGAAGTTAATGCATGAAGGAGCAGCCTCAGCCAAGCCACTGAGTCCTGTTGCAGAAACATTCAGAGTTATTCAGGGGGCACTGAGTGAGGAGTATGTGAGAACTACTCAGGGAGTCTTCCAGTTTGACTTATCTGGTAAGGCCATGGCTTGGAAAGCCTTCAAACACTCACTCATGCTCCTAGCATCAGGTGCTGGGTATTTTCAAACAAACACCTTCTTCAGCTGATTCCAAAGACACACCCTTTAGTTCTGTTCTGTATGGTGATGCACAGAAGCTGCTGTCCCTCCTGGTGTTTATGGGCAGCTTTGCCCCAGCACTGGCCTCACCACAGAGGGCCAGTGTAACAAGACAGGCTGCAGGCAACATGGTGGTAAACGCATCAGCTGCCACCACAGTGTCAGCACAGTGCTGCCTTTGGGCTCTTGCCTTTGCATGTGGCCCTGTGGGATGTCTGCCCAAGGCTGCCTTGGGCTGCAGGCAGAGCATGGGGCAAGTGGCACCTTCTTGCAAAGTCCTGCCACATTGGTAGTGTTGTGTAACTGCTCCAGGTGGGCACAGCTACGGCTTTCTGTCAGGGAGGAGTAGGGAGGGCTTGGCACTTGTTGCTGCCTGGTCATCTCTTTACACTCTCTGTTCAGGTGATGATGGAGGCACTTGGTACATTGACCTGAAAACCAAGGGTGGGAGTGCTGGTTCTGGAAAGCCTCCAGTGACGGCGGATGTAGTTATGAGCATGTCAAGTGCGGACTTTGTGAAAATGTTCACAGGTGAGTGGAAAAGGCATTTGCCAGGGTGGGTGCAGGTCTTGGTGCCCAGAAACCTTCCACTGATGGGCCAATAGACACTTCCTCGCTATGTGATCCTGGGAGGGAGAAGGTTTCTGCTTCTTGTGTCTCAAGGGAAAGCATAGGCTAGAGCTCCCCAGGCTAGAGTAGGTTTCTCTAAACTCTTATATTCTGTGAAGAGAAAGAGCAAAAAAGCTGCTTGAATTAACTGGGTATGGACATTTTAGCAGAGAGTGTAGCTTCTGAAAGATTCTAGTCAATCTGTTGGACTTTGATTCTGCACATCTCTAATCCATGTTTCATCATATTGGAGAGGTCATGGCAGTCTGGTGAGGTTCCTGCTGATTGGAAAAAAGGAAACATAGCCCCTATTTTTAAAAAGAGGGAAAAGGAAGACCCAGGGAACTACAGGCCGGTCAGTCTCACTTCTGTATCCAGCAAGATCATGAAGCAGATCCTCCTGGAAAGTCTGCGAAGGCACATGGAAAATAAAGAGGTGATTGGTGACAGTCAAAATGGCTTCACTAAGGGCAAGTTGTGCCTGACCAATCTGGTGGCCTTCTACGACAAGGCTACAGAGATGGTGGATGGTGGCAGAGCAACTGACGTCATCTACCTGGATTTGTGCAAGGCGTTTGACACTGTCCCACATGACATCCTGGTCTCCAAACTGACAAGGCATGGATCTGACAGGTGGACCACTCGATGGCTAAGAAATTGGCTGGATGGCCACACCCAGAGAGTTGTGCTCAATGGCTCAATGTCCAAACGGAGGCAGGTGACAAGTGGTGTCCTTCAGGGGTCAGTGTTGGGACCAGTGCTGTTTAACATCTTTGTTGGAGACATGGACAGTGGGACTGAGTCTATCCTCAGCATGTTTGCTGATGATACCAAGCTGTGTGGTGTGGCTGACACCCTAGAGGGAAGGGAGGCCATCCAGAGGGACCTAGACAGGCTGGAGAGGTGGGCCAGTGCCAACCTCATGAAGTTCAACAAGGCCAAG